CCTTTACATTTTAAAATGTATAATTTGCGAGTTTGATTATCATGAGCTTGTCCCAGGGTCTGATCTTCCTTCGATACAGGGGCAAAATTCAGTTTTGACCCGGCCCAGCGGAGAACTGAATTCTCCCCTCCCGTAAAAGAAGCCAAGTCTGGATTTATTGTGAGCTTACAAGACTGTGATCAAGATTCCAGCCAGTGACGGGGACAGGGTAGCGTCGCCTGTCGCCACTCCCCGACTTCTGGCCTTCCCGGCCGCCCCCGCGGGCGTCCTTAGCAACACGCGCGCTCACTCTCTGTCCCTCCCCGTCCGCAAGGCGCAGCGCATGGCGCGCGGCGGAGGCTGTCTTTGCGCCTGCGCGCGGCCTCAACCGCCAGTCAGCTTTCTTCCCCGCCCCTCCCTCCTCCCTCCCCCCTCATCTCTCCTCCTCCTCAGCCTCTGAGAGCGCGACATCAATATGGAGCCTGAGGACCTGCCGTGGCCCGGCGAGCTCGAGGAGGAGGAGGAGGAGGAGGAGGAGGTGGCGGAGGAGGTACCCGAGGAGGTGGCGGAGGAGGTACCTGAGGGGCTGGCGGAGGAGGCGGAGAACTTGGACGAAGATGAAGTGTTGATGGTGGAGGACGTAGAGGAGGAGGAGGAGGGTCGGGAACTGGACGCGGACTTAAACTACGAGAGCCAGCCTCCGGAGAGTACGGACGACGAGGAGGATGAGGAGGACGAGGAGGCGATGGCCTGGCTGCAGGCACACCCCGGCCGGAGTTTGCCTCTGTCGTCGCTCCGGAAGCACCGCTACTCCGAGGCCGAGCGGACCGCCTCGGAGAAGGTGAGCCTGGCCGGAGAGCCGTGTGGCACGCCGTCGGGGAAGGTGACTGGTTGTCCCTGAGCCCTCCGCCTGCTCTCTGCCTGGGCGCCGATGCTTCCTGCTCTCTGCCCAGCACGGTGCCTGACACATAAATGCGCTTAAAGGCTTGTAAGGGCCGTCTGGACTCTTACACAGGTTCTGGCTGACTACTCCAATCTCTCCAGTTCTTTCTGGCAGACCTCTTGTTTCTACCCTTCGGTGTGTCCTGGGCCTTTGGAATTACACCAGATGTTAAGTGAAGCCAGTATTCCCAGCTTGTGTAGTTACAAAACGCTTTGGGGAGGAGGTGGCGTCTATCATGTCCCGAAGGAGGGGAAAAAGGTGGTGTCCGAGTGGAGAGAGTGCGTTGCCCAGGGACTATCTTGTTGGGAAGACAATTAGGAGATTAGTTTGCCTGAGTACAGGGCACCCCTGAGGGAGTTGTGTGGATTAAGTACACTGCATGAGGTGTTAGTCTCAAAAGGCTCCTGGAAGATTGTTTTTCTCTGTACCCTCATTTGTAGCAATAAAGGGGTCCCTAGCCTGTAGGAGGGGCTTAGAAATGCAGGAGAGGCTTATGCCGCAGCTCCAAACACTCTGGAAAACTAGAAAGCACAAGGTAATGCACAGTGGAGAAAGAGCTGTTTTTATGGTTGGCTCTTGAAGATTAGTTTGAAAATAATTGCATTTAACTGATTGCTTTTCAGGGAGAAAAAAAAGATTTGCCATACAATTCGGTTATCAAGTCCTCAGACATTTATTAAATTTCTATTCTACAACGTGGGGAGAAAAAGAAGCATAGGGTTTATTATCTAGGACTGCTCCTTAGACAAGATGTAAACAATTGAAAAGACAGAGAAAAGACTGTATAGACTTGTGCTGTTCAATACAGTAGTCACTAGCCACATATGACTCTTAACATCTTAATTAGTTAAAAGTAAGTAAAATAAAAAATTCAGTGCCTGTGTTGTACTAACCACTTTTCAAGTGCTCAGTAGCCACATTTGACTAGTGGCCAACCTATTGGACAATGAAGATATAGAAGAGTTCCATCATCACAGAAAGTTCTCTTGGTTAGTGATGCTATGAACTGTTGATCATTAAAGAACAATAGTTGTTGTTTTGCCTGGTGAATATCCCTTAATTCATGGAGCATATATTATTGAGCATTCACCATGGGCCATGCAATGTGCTAGATGCTAAGAAACCTTGGTAAACCCAAACATTTTTTTATCTCTGCCTTTCTAGTGTTCATAGTCTAGAGAGGAAGGCAGACAAAATGTAGGTGGTGCCATAAATAAAAGTAGAACTGATGCGTGTTAACATGCTTTGAAAACATACAGTAAGGAATCTGACTTTGTTCATGAAGCTGGAGAAAGCTACCCTAGGAAGTTAGGATAGAGCTGAGATCTGAAGACATATTAAGGATAACTAGGCAAAGGGAACGGAAAGAGCCTTCTTAGTTGAGGGAAAAGCACATGGAAAAGTACTGTTGGTTAGAGAGAGCATGGCATTATCAAGGAATGAAAGGCCAATGTGGGTTGAACACAGACTTCAAGGCTTTGTGTGCAATGCTTAGAATTTGGAGACTTGATCCCTGAATCTTTGGGAAGTCATTAAAAATATTTAAACGGGGTGGTATATGATAAATTTGTATTTTTTTAAAACTTTATTGGGGAACAGTGTGTTTTGCCCTGGGCCCATCAGCTCCAAGTCAAGTTGTTGCCCTTCAATCTTAGTTGTGGAGGGTGCAACTCAGCTCCAAGCGCAGTTGCCATTTTCATTCTAGTTGTGGGGGGCACAGCCCACCATCCCATGTGGGAGTTGAACTGGTAACTCTGTTGTTAAGAGCATGTGCCCTAACCAACTGAGCCATCCGACCACCCACCAGCAGTTAAGCAGCAGCTCAGTGGCAGCTCAGCTCAAGTCTGCCACTGAGCTCAAGTCGTTGTCTTCAATCTAGTTGCGAAGGGCACAGCTCACTGGCCCATGTGGGAATCGAACCAGCAATCTTGTTGTTCAGAGCATGTGCTCTAAACAACTGAGCCACCTGGCCACCCCCGCCCCTGACTTTTGTATTATAGCCATCCTAGTTGGTGTGAAGTGGTATCTCATTGTGGTTTTGATTTGCATTTCCCTGATGGCTCATGATATTGAGTATTTTTTCATGTACATATTGGCTATTTGTATATCTTCTTTGGCAAAATGTCCATTCAGATCCTTTGCCAATTTTTAATTGGGTCATTTGTCTATTTACTATTGAGTTGTATGAATTCTTTATATATTCCTCATATTTTCCACAATGTGAATCTTCAAATTTCCTTATAAGGATTTGTAATATTTTCTCCTAGCCTGTGGGTCGTTTCATATTCTTGATGGTGTTCAACAATGTGAAGTCCCATTTATCTTCTTTTTCTTTTGTTGTTCATCCTTTTGGTATTATATCTTAGAACCCATTGCCAACTGTGAAGTTCTTTACAGCTCTATGTTTTTTCTTAAAAATTTTATAGGTTTTGTTCTTACATTTAAGTCTTTGATCAGTTTTGAGTTAATTTTTGTATGTGGTGTGAGGAAAGGGTTTGACTTCATTTTTTTGTTGTGGCTACCTACTTGTCTCAGCACCATTTGATGAAGAGGCTATTCTATCCCAATTATAAGTCTTAGTACCCTTGTTGAAAATCAGTTGACCATAGATGTATGGGTTTATTTCTGGATTCTTAATTCTATTCCATTATTTTATACAGAGGATGCCAAAACTTGGGATGAAAACTTTCCATTTTGCTGTTTGAAGAATGTGTCGTATGCTTGTTCTGCTTAACTCCTGTCTCATGTGCACATTGTTTGGTAGACTTCTGTGGTGAGCATGTAAACTGTTCCAACACCATAGCAGAAGAAGCAGGACTTGTTGCTGTGCGAGGCCTCCCAGATCTTCCCTTGTGCACATCACACACAGTACCATGGGTCTCAAATTTATCACGAATGCGTGCAGTTGTTAGGTGTGTTGGAGGTTCTATTGCATACTCACGCCTCCATTGTAATTGTACTTCCACAATGTTTTAGAATTTCAAATACCATTTCAAAATGGTTTTGTGCTCCTTGAACGACAACTGTGCTTCCGCAATTTTCTTTGTCCTTTCTATTGCATGGTGATGCTAGCACTCTTTTGATTAAAGCCATTTTTTGAGTGACTGTCATATTACACATTGCTACCGTAATTCAATTCAACTTTGAAAAGTAAAGATAGATAACATCTCTTAAAATAAATGTGTATACGTTCTTTTGGCACCTCTGGTATGTCCAACTTTATGCTGTGCCACACTTTTTTTATTACAGTTGCTTTGTGGTAAGTTTTGAAATGAAGATGTGTGAGTCCTCCAACTTCATTGTTTTTCTTCCAAGATATTTTGTCTTTTCTGGGTCCCTTGTAATTCCCTATGAATTTGAGGATCAGCTTTTCAATTTCTACAGAGAAACCAGCTGGTATTTTGGTGTGAATTACATTGAATTTGTAGATCAATTTGGAAGTATTGCAATATTAGCAACGTTAGGTCTTCTGATCCATAGTCATGGCATATCTTTTTATTTATTTAGATCTTCTGTAAATCTGTTCAATAATGTTTTGTAGTTTTCAGAGTATAAGTTTTGACTTTTCTTAAATTCTAAGTATTGTTTTATTCTTTTTGGTAAGTAGAATTTTTTATTCTTATTTTAAGTAGGAACCCCCCCCCCCAATTTTGGATTGTTCATTGCAAGTGTATAAAAAGACAATTGATTTTTGTATATTTATCTTGTATTCTGTAACTTTAATAAACTTGTTCATTAGTTATAAGAGATTTTTAGTGGACTCTCTAGGATTTTTTTTTTTTACATACAAGACCATGTCACATACATATAGTTTTAGTCTTCTTTACCAACCTGGATATCTTTTGTTTATTTTTTTTTTTTTGCCTAATTTTTCTGGATAGTACTCCCAGTATAATGTTGAACAGAAATGGTGAAAGTGGATATCCTAGTCTTAATCCTGATCTTAGGGAAAAAGTATCCAGTCTTTCACCAAAAGTATGGTGTTAGTTGTAGGTTTTTCATAGATGCCCTTGTCAGAATGATGAAGTTTTCTTCTATTCCTAATTTATTGAGTGTTTTACCGTGAAAAGGGTATTGATTTTGTCAAATTATTAATTAGTATATTGCATTAATTGATATTGGATTGTTAAGCAAATATGCATTCTGGGGATTATTTACTTCATTTTGGTATATGAATATTTTATGTTACTGAATATAGGAACATAAATACACTGATTTGCTAGTTTCCTGGTTTTTATTTTTTGTTTTGTTTTTTAATTTTGGCATCTATATTCCCATTATACTGGTCTGTATTTTTCTTGTGTTTTTGTCTGGTTTAGTATCAGGGTAATACTGGCCTCATAAAATGAGTTGCAACTGTTCCTTCTGTTTTTGGAAGAGGTTGTGAAGGATTGGCACTAATAATACGTTTTTTTTTTTAGCTGAGCCATCCTGCTACCTATTGGCAGCTTAGCAGCAGCTCAGCTCGGGCCAGGCATCAAACTGCTGTTACTCAGAGCTCAAACTCATGAGTGAGCTCTTAACCAACTGAGCCACTCGGCTGGCCCCTACTAATAATACTTTGATTGATAGATTTCACCATATGGATTTGGACTTTTCTTTTTGGGAAGTATTTTAGTTACATATTCAATATTCTTTTCTTGCTATAGGTCTACTAGGTTGTTTATTCTTTTGTTTTTTTATTTTTTAACATCTTTTTTTTGTTTGTTTAATGGGGAACATGTTTTTCCAGGACTCATCAGCTCCAAGTCAAGTAGTTGTTTCAGTCTAGTTGTGGAGGGCATGGAGATCAAACCAGCAATCTTGGTGTTAGGAGCACTGCACTCTAACCAACTGAGCTAACCAGCCACCCAAGATTTTTATTAAAATATAGCTAACATACAATATTATATTAGTTT